CCCCACTTTTTAGTTATATATACCCCACCTCAATAGCTTATATATACACACAACACATGTACGTAAAGCATGTATATGTTAAAATAGTTTCGTGTGGACCTAACTTAAACGAGTCGTAACTCATTCATGGAGGCGTTGCTCTGCTCCGAGATACCCAACAACATCAGATCTTCCATTAACGATCTCTCCTCTTCTTCTTCTTCATATACATGGCCTATCATGACCTCCTCTTCTTCATCGATGGAGGAGATTCCTAGATGCGACTGGGATCTTTCTCTCTCAGCCGTCATTTCTTCCGCACCCACCGGATCCGACGCCATCGGAGCAATCGAGTTCGACCCGACTGGAGAGATCTTAGCCACGGGAGGCATCGCGAGGAAGATCCGATCGTACCGTTTAAGCTCTTTGTTAGGGTCGCATGATGATCACGTGACTACTTCCGAGAGCTGTATCTGCACGCCGGCTAAGCTAAGTAGCCTCAAATGGAGACCCGATTTAGCCGGTCGGGTTATCGGGTCGGGAGATTACGACGGAGTGGTCACCGAGTACGACGTGGAGAAGCAAGTGCCTGTTTTCGAGCGAGACGAGCATGGAGGCAGAAGGATCTGGAGCGTGGACTACACGCTCTTCAATGGATCCACCGTTGGGGTGTCGGGCTCCGACGACGGAACGGTTCAAATGTGGGACCCACGAGCCGGAGGTTTGGAGGAAACCTTTAGGCCTGGAGGTGGAGCGGCGGTATGTTCCGTAGAGTTTGATCCGTTCGGTGGACCTTCTTTAGCCGTCGGTTCTGCTGACCGGAATGCTTACGTGTACGACATCAGAAGACCCGTTGATCCGATCGTTGTATTGGACGGTCATAGCAAAACGGTGACGTATGCTCGGTTCATGGATCCTCACACGATCGTTACGGGTTCGACCGACGGGAGCTTGAAGCTGTGGGATATAGCAAACGGACGGGGAGTGGTTCGCACGTACAGAGGGCATGTGAACAGCCGGAACTTTGTCGGGTTGTCGGTTTGGAGACACGGTGGTTTGGTCGTGTCCGGGTCGGAGAATAACGAAGTGTTTGTGTACGACAAGAGGTGGGGAGAACCGGTTTGGGTGCGTGGGTTGGGTCAAGTGGACCGGTTCGGATCTGACCGGATGTTCGTGAGCTGTGTGTGTTGGAGACAAGTGGATGAAGACTGGTGCACGCTTGTGGCCGGAGGATCCGATGGGGTTCTACAGATTTTATCGGGCAAACGGAGCTAATCAGTATTAATATACATATTTATAAGATTCTTTTTTCTACTCATGATTTACAAACTGTTTTTCAGTTGGTTTTATAAACTGTCTATAAATCCAAAACGATTAATGTTACTATTGTTTATTGTAACTGATTTGAGAACTTTTTCAATCCTTGCAACTCGAATACATGATGAATATCACATTCTGTAGGGAAATGCATATTCATAATGGTCAACAACATTTTTTATAAAATAGTATTGAGTTATTAACAAATATAATTTGTAGATTCATGTATATGTTATGTAGATATAATTTGTAGAGAAGATAAATCAGAAGATAAAATCGTCTGATTTAAAAATAAAAATAAAAATCATGTCGAGACTGATCCTTAACCGCTGAATAATCTGGTTTGGTCAACTTTCACCAACAGTTTATTTCTGGTTCTAGTAACTTTTTCAAAATCCCCTTTTCACCTACCAATCTCATCTACCAAGATTATCCAAAAATAGATAAACAAGCAAAACTACAGAGCACATCGGACCACCGTCACCTGAGAATAAGACTGGTAGGCCAACGGAGACCTTAGGGTTAAACCGGAACCTCACCATGTCAAGTTCTCCAGAGGCTGGCTCCCCCGCTTCCACACTTCTCAAAAGTTTCAGGTCGACTTTCTCCAAACTTTCCCTTTGTCTGTGATACAAAGCAAAGGAGAACACTCACCAGCATAGACTTGCTCTGTCTGGAAGAACCTTGTCAACATTGCATAACAGCCAAAATGTCTAGAAGGTACACAATTGCAGAGAAAGGGAAGAACACTGTTAGTGATGAAGA